TTTTATTAGTGTGTGTCTCATGTGCATTTGTATGTTATTTTGTAGTACAGTTGCGTGTTCTGCTGTACAGATTCTGCCTAGTAATTTACTTACTCCCTTGCAGTATGGTACAGTATTTACTAAATTTTGTACTTGAACTGACTGTATGTGAGATGTAACTTTCCTTCTAAACTCATCAAATGTTATAACTTCTTTAATATTATAATTCACCTGTGATCAAAGTGCACTTTACATCAAACTTGCAAGGAAATGAATCCTTGTCATAAGCTACATATTGCTGAATGAATATATGACCAGATGTGCGAGGTGGTGGATGCAAGTGAGAAACACAACCTGTGCACTACTGGACTTGACAGAACTATTATCTTAGTCTCTCTTTGCTAGCAGAGAGCTTTGCTATAATGCTAACTTTTTTATATATATTTCTTACAGATTTCATTGCTTTTTATATGCATGTTCTCTCCTGCTAAAATGATTCAAATCCAAGTGAATATCAGTAGTCTAGAGTTGAGAATTGACAAGTTTATAGCCAGGAGAAATGATGGCAGAATTAGTTTTGTGATTAGTTCTAGTTAAGAAGGGTAAGTATTTTTTTATCATAACTATTGTATGTTCAGTTAGAGAAGAGTTAAAAGACCAGGTTGTTCGAGTTGAATTTAGCCTTTCTCTCCAGGGAGGATTGTATTCCAAAATCCTCTCCATCAAGGAACAGAATATGTCATATTTTAATGTATTTAAGTACTGTACCTGTATTTACATTGAGATTGTTTGTATAAAGGAAAAGTTTCAAATATGCTTCTGATAAAACAAAATGAATCACATTATATATTTTGAGCTTTACTGATGTTTTGTGGATTCAGCTGAGTTTGAATACCATTAGCACTTATACTGTACTTGCATTTAGTTTTGGTTAGGAGTTAACAAAGTTGAACTTATAATTTTTTTTTCTTTTAACAGCAGATTTCCAATATTGAAAGAGTAATCATAATTTTCAAGTTTGTAAACTACAAGTAACAATTTAGGGCACGAATTTATTATCATATGTAATTCATGCAAGGAGATTGGTGGTGAGTACACTGTAAGAAGCACCACGAGGCTAGTTAACAGAATAGAGATGCAGTATTTTATTGGGCATAAGCTGTTTCAAAATATTCTAATCTGCTAATTTTCATTTGTTACACAATTATAGTTATTAGAATTTTATAGTTTTATAATAGATTTAACTATGATAAAGTGTGTTGAATTTGGTGTGTATGTTATTCAATTACAACAATATTGCCTTCAGATTTGGCACATTTTTCTAATCTACTTTTATGACAATGGAAAACGAAACTGTAGTGTTCTTGATGAATTATGTGTTCATATTTTTCAGCTCTAACATTGCCTTGAAATTTTGCATGTTTTCTTATGTATTTTTATGAAATTTATGAAAAGTAATACTGTACTGAAGTATTTTAAATTTTTGCATATGTAACACTTCAAGAAGTATAGCAAGGAACAAGGTTCTACTTGATATCTCTTTGGTTGAGTTTAAGCCTTTTCTAATCCACAGTTTGTACATTTTTGTATGAACATATATCCAGGTTGATTATTCTAGTTTATATCATAAGTTTGAGTTGGATATTTACTTGACGGTAGCATTGCCTCGAGTTACAGTTTAACAAGCTGTAGAGTTTTTCTTAAGAGGGAAAATTAAGAATAGTTCTTTAAATATACTTTTATTATATTACTCAGATGGAAATTTTATAATAAATGTTGAAGTGTATTTACTAGTATTATACAGCTGTCTTGCAAACAATGACTTTGGGTCCTACAACTGCCTTATCTCTTACCACAAAGAAGTTAGTGATTTTTCTAATTATATTATTAAGTACTGAGGCTCAAGAGTCATTTGAGCAAAAGCAAAAAAAAAAAAATAATAACTATACTACTAATCAAAGTCATCGAGCCTTTGGAGAGAAACCAAATTTCACAATACGTACTGTAGTATACTCTATAGTACTCAAATTCATCGAAGTCACCCATTGTCCGTTATCGATGAACAGTACTGTAATGGATGATTGTTGCAATTACTGGAATGCCTTCTAATTACAATTTATAAGAATATAGCTTAGATGTTATGAACTTTCTTTGTTAAAATACACAACTTTCAGGTGTTACAATTGGAAGGCTAAGTACTATCACTATTGTGTTTTTTGGTACTGTATTCAACTGCCTCATATTTTAGTTCCATCGCCCTGTGTACATGGTAACTAGAATGTATGAAATTTTTATATTTGGGAAAGGCAATGCTAAATACAGCTCTCCTTTGTAACTTTTTGCTAATTGTTATATCAAGTGTTGTGAACAATTGTCAGACTCAAAATATCTTTCAAGTGTTGAGATATATTTACAGGCTATAATATGCAGTTTTAGCAATGTTTTTGGCAGTTACATTTATTAAAGAGCTTCCCCCATGCTCTTTAGCTGTATATATCTATTAGTTGCCTCTTTGCAACTTTAATAATGTTATATCCTTTCCATATCTATTTCTTATTGTCAGCATCAATTTCCAGTTTTCATGATATGAAAATTTCCTAAATACTCATTGACTTAATGGATACAGTAGGAAGGTTACATTTTGTAAGAAAACTGACGGCATTGTAACAAATTTGTTTAATCTTGTATTTGATGACATAAGACCGTGATACCTGGTTGTATACCGCAGATTACATTTGAAGAAAAGTTATACTGTACAAATTGTAACCTTAATTGAAATTCTTGTTAACTTAGTCTTATACACATCAATTCCTCCTTGAGGTAAATACATTGTGAAGGATCTCTTACTGTCTAACACTGCTATTTGGCAGGGATACCTCAAGAATTTAATTCGTGTGATTTTCCTCTGTCAAAATAGAAAATTACAGGTTACTGTGAATGACTTGAGACTATTCGATACTCAAGCTTTTATATATGAAGTGCTTTTGATGTACTGTTTGATTGTTTGACAAATCATTGTGGTTACTTATTTAAAATCTTTTTTCCTTAATATATAATAATAGTTTTATTTCCCTAATAATTATTTCATGGCAGACTTAGATAGTAGAGTATCCTAGCTAGTTGAATTCATATAGATTTTTCATATCTCAGAAGCGTAACCAGGATTCTGGTATGGGGGGTTTTCCATATTGTCCGAATGTAAATATATACAGGACAAGTGCAGCGAGCTCATACAGCTCAAGTGTTGTAACCCCCCCTGAGAAAATTTGAAATTTGATAAATTTCGGGGACTTTTTGAGTCCATATTCGAAGGCTATTAGGTTATTTGAAAAGATAATCAAGGGGTAATTCAGAGTGAGAGTAGACATTCAATGTCCTATAAATAGTCGGTACGGTGAACTATATCGACGTCTTGTCATACATCATTTATGAAAAATTTTTCCAACCCTGTCTGACTTACACATAATTAATAGATATTTGTACTTACATTGTGGGCATTTTGATGCAGAAGTGACATTTACATCATCATACTGTAGCTTAAGTTTCACTGGGATGCTAGCAGTTGCACTTGATTCAGTGTTGGTCGATGATGATGTACCCAGAATCTCCTTGGCGACGTCTCTGGTAGGGCTTAATGGCTTTGACTGAATGCCAGTTGGGCGAATAAAATTGCAAAAATCCATAGTGGATTAGAAACAAAGCACACACACTATACACGCACGGGAATAACACGATAATGTAAGAGTGCGCATGTGTTGTTCACAGCTGAAACGGGCTTGTGACTGACTCCTGGGTCAGAACTTGGTCATTTATATGAAGATGCCAGTGGTCCTGAGGGTCATATCAGGTCACAAGCTGAGCTTACGACCTGACATGACCCAAAATTCTGCACACAAGTATGTCTTATAATCATGCCGCTTGTGTTTGACCGTATTAAGATTAAATATGACACGTAAGGGAGGGAGATGACAGCAGATCAAAGACACTTCAGATGAGCAGTGTGGGCTTCGAGGGGGGTTTCCGGGTAACCAGGAAACCCCCCTGGACATGCCCCTGTATCTGTCAGACTGATATAAGTTTTTTAGAACTACTGTAGTAGATTGAGATTTATTTTAAAAGTGTCTAGCTATAGATTACAAGTGCCTCACACTTTATGTGGCGTCTCTTAAAAATTCGTTATTATGAGAAGACCTTATTTCTACCACTTCACTGAATTATACGACTGGCTGGGTTGGATATACAAAGCTCATACTACTTGTGTAAGCAAACATGGACTCTATTATGCAGTTGGGACTCCTTAGGCTTTCTGTGGGAGCAGGTGGAGTGGCGAGTGGGTAGCCGTGATGAAGCAGCCCAGGTGCTCTCTCACTCGGTGTTTCATTGTTTAATGTTGTTTGTGGACCTAAGCTATTCTTATTTTGTAGTGTGTCCTTTTACCATTACTGTTGATGGTTGTATGGTAACCAAGTGGTAAAAACGGGGGGCAGAGAGACAACTTTATTCCTGGCGATCTTCACAAAACACTTTCTCAGAGTCCTCTGACGAAATGTCAGGATTAAAGTCATCTCTCTAACCCTGAGTTCTTTGTTACCATACAAGCATTTGTCCAAATGAATACTATTCATTACTATTGAACAGTGCAAAGTCATCTTAAGTGAATGTTGAAAAAATAAGGAACTCATTGATGCACTTGGCATTTTTGGGGGCAAAGGTAATGACCAGAATAAGTAGTCCATAGCTGGAAAAAATGGAGATGCTCATCTTGTCACATTAAATGTAAAAATAAGAAGTTTACGTATATTCAGTTTGTGTAAAAAAAAAAACATTCATGTAAGAATTTGGCAATTATGTAGTGACATGCTGATGTAGATTCAGAATGTACAAACATGTGCAAACTCTTAGTTTTATTCTCTAAATTTTGTCATAAATCTTTGAGACATAGTATACAGTACAGATGTATTTATTACAAAATTTTTAGCTAAAGTTGTTTTTTATTTGATATGAGAGTGATATACATTAAAATTTCGTTTTCTTATAGTATTTCAATCGTACACAATTTTCAGTGTCAAAAAAATTAAAGACTATTTTTCGTGTTTTTAAGTTATATTTATTACCAGTTTTTCTAAGTGTTTTTATGGAACTTTCTGAGTTACAATCTTACAATTTAGTACTGTAGTGAAAATATATTAGATTCCTAACTACTCGTTTATTAAATGTACAGTCGTTTAGTTAAGTAAAATGTAGTTAAGAACATTGAACGTCAAGTTTAAGCTTAAATATTACCTATGATAATATGGCTTTTTGCTTTCATTTTAAACATAATATAAGAAATGAACAGCTATATAAAAAAAAGTATTGTCCATCTTTACTTTAGTGGAACCATTCCCACTCTGCCCTTATAGAATTGACATAATTATGACTTTAGGTAAGAGACGTCTTTGTTTATACCCAATATCCTACTAAGGAATGTTGAGATTATTCATTTGTCAAAAAAGCTATGTTTTATAATATGCCCAACACTTTAAAATTTTGTCAAGATGACAAACTCCTTGCTATGTCAAATAACTGTAAACTAAATCACTTGTCCACTTAGCAAATACAGGTACTGTATCGATTTTAAGTTTGGGGCATATCAGATTGTGTGTGTGTGAGCTCGTGCAAAGTATGCACTTACATTAATGTCCGTGTACAGAGGTGCTCATGTTTTTCATATACCTTTATGTGTGTTAAGTCACTGAGATGGAACAAAGACAAGACAAAAAGAAATATGGGGGGAAAGGAGAAATATAATACTGTATTAGAAAAATCGACAAAAACTAATGTTTGTTCTTTGAACAAAAAGATTTCCTGTTCTTGAACTTTTAACACTGTGACACGGACTTTCATATGAGGGACCTGGGAATTCGCAATACAGGGGGGGGGGGGTATATCATCTTGTGGACATCAACCTTTCTAAGCTGTTATCAAAATCCTTGAACTAGTTCAACACTTATAAAGTGGGCATGCGATATATAAGAAGAGCAGACAAAGCAGATCATTGAGGGATAAAAAAAGGGGGGCTGAGAACCTGAAAGGGACAACAAGAATGAATTATATGTCTCTTGCATAATGTCAATAGTAAAGTCACCTACACTAAATACAGTACAATGGGCTACTATACAAAGGAAGCTGTACTCATCTACAGTATGTCATTCAAGTACATTTTAATTTTACCGTCTACTTATGTCAAGATCTGTCATTTGTTTTGATTTTTTAATATCCAGTATTGTTCTTCCATAAGAATGTCTGATATCAGATTTTCTGTATCGTAGCTGTTGTGAAACTGATGCATCAGTTCCATGTCTTACTTTGCGAGACCATAAAACCTTGGTTGATCGACGTTTGAAGTATAGCTCAACCATCAAAATCAGTAGAGATATAACTGCCCCAGCAAGAAGTAACATGAAGGCAGTCAAGATATTTCTGAAAAAAAAACCTTTTTATTGTGTTCTTTCGAAAAATTAATATAATGGATCCAAATGATTAGTAATTTAAATTTTTACCCTCTCCCTAAACCCCCTCTCTCTTACACACACACCTACAGTATATAAAAGAACTATCAAATTTATTGTTACTTACGAAAATCCAAGCTCTGTATAGGGGGAGGGTGCCTCACATGGTATGGATTTACCCCACCAGTGCTGATGCATGCGATCCAACAAGCCGCCTGATGACATCTTGATTAATCTGGTGGAGAGAAAAGTTTTGGTTGAACTAGAGGTAATTTTCATTTATGACTTGCAGTTTTTACACTAGGAATGCCACAGCTCATTTGGCGATGCTGTGGAATCCTAACCTGAATCGGATCCAACGCTACATAAATACTGTCAAGGTGGCCACAGAGCCAATGCCCCTTTTATATGGGATGTTACTTTTAATATTTTATTTAGCTAATACCAGACGACTTTATCCAGCACTGAAAGACCCCTTGCACCCAAGAGGTTAAATACCTCACAGCCTAGGCAGATAGTGTAAACGAGCTTAACAGTACTGCAGTACATTTTACTAGCAATTACTCATACACTACAGAACCTCAGTTACCCAGAAAGATTAGAATGCCTGCAGTTGCCCAGCTTATACTATAGGTGGGCAAGGGGTGACTTAATTCAGGTCTATAATTTTACTTTTTTTACTTTTATCCTCTTCGCCACTGATTGGCTTGTTAGCCGCTTGGGCGATCGGTCACGTCTCTGGTTACTTTTCCTTTTCATTTATCTTCTTCACCAAAAGATCGGCTCGCTAGCCGCCCGGGCGATCGGTCACGTCTCTGTCACGCACTGTTGGCAAATACTGGGCACGCACCGGCTCCTGAATGTACCTGAACCCGCTCCAGTGTTGGTCAAGTCTTGTCTTGAAAGAGCTCACACTCGGTGCCGTCACAACACTCTCTGGTAGATTGTTCCAAGAGTTTACAACCCTCACTCCGAAAAAGTTTGCCCTCACGGTTTTCTGGACTTGCGGCTTCTTCAATCTTGAGCTGTGACCCCTTGTGGGGCGAGCGTCCGCCAGCTCCAAGTAAGGACACTCAACTGAGTAGTGCCCCCTTGAATCTCAGCAGCCATTTCTTCGACCATTCCTGGAGCCCACAGAGGTCCTTCTGCAGTTCTTCACAGTCCGCTTGGTTCTTAATTTCCCGAAATAACTTGGCGTCATCGGCAAACATTTGTATGGAGGAGTGTACGACGTCAGGCATGTCATTTATGAAACAAACAAACAACAGCGGGCCCAATACACTGCCTTGTGGTACCCCACTTGTGACAGGTACAGATGACGATTTCGTGCCATTAATCACCACACACTGCTTGCAGTCATGTAGAAAGTCTTCTATCCACGCTAGGACATTTTCCCGAATTCCGTACCCTTCCAGTTTGATTTTCAGCCTTTCGTGGGGTACTCTGTCGAAAGCCTTGGCAAAATCTAGGTAAATATTGTCGATATTACCACCCCGTTCCCGAATATGGGTCCAAATATCCAATACCTTGAGAAATTGTGTTAAGCAGGAGCGCCCCGGCATAAAACCGTGTTGGCAATCTTTTACAAGGTTGTTTCGTATTAGATGTTCCATTGCGGCATCTCTGATAATACTCTCAAGTACTTTACATATTATACTGGTCAGGCTCACCTGTCTATAGTGGAGTGAGGTCATTACTCAGTCGAGTGTCCATACCTGGAGCTGGCGAATGCCCGTCCCACTAAAGGCCACAGCTTAAGGTCAAAGAAGCCACAAGCTCAGAAAAATGACAAGGCAAACTTTTTCGAAGTGAGAATTATACTCTTGGTACAATTTGCCCGAGTGTTGTGACGGCACTGAGTGTGAGCTCATTCAAGACCAGGCTTGACCAATGCTGGCACAGGTAGAGATACATTTAGGAGCCAGTACATGCAAGGACTAATCCTTGAGTACATGCTCAGTACTTGCCAACAGTGTGTAACAGAGATGTAACCGACCGCCCAAATGGTTAATGAGCCGATCACTGACAAAGAGGATAAAAGCAAAAGGGGTGTTGTCTGTTGGTGATGCAGTCAAAGATCCTGTTGTTAGGGCCAGTCCACTCACTGACATGTTGTCCTAGATTTGGAAGCATTGATCAGATATAAGCAAACACTACTAATGAATAGGATTAATTTGGACAAGTGGTTATTACTTTCATCCTCTTCGCCACTGATCGGCTCGTTAGCCTCTTGGGCGGTCGGTCATGTCTCTGATACTGTTGGCAGATACTGGGCATGCACTGGTTCCTGAATATATTAAAATCTGCTTCAGTAAGTTCAGTGTCTGGTCTTGAATGAGTTCACACTCGGTGCCGTCACAATGCTCTCTGGCAGATTGTTCCAAGAGTTCACAATTCTCACTCCGATAAAGTTTGCCCGAACAGTTTTCTGGACTTGTTGCTTCTTCAACCCTAAGCTGTGACTCCCGCCAGCTCCAGGTATGTACATTTGACCGAGTAGTGCCACCTGAGATGTTTATACACTTCGATTAGGTCGCCCCTCGCCCGTCTGTAGTATAAGCTAGGTAGTTGCAGGCTCTCCAATCTCTCTGAGTAACTGAGGTTACGTAGAGCAGGCACCAGTCTGGTGGCCCTCCTTTGGACATTTTCAATCAATTGACAGTCTCTAACAAACCTCGGGGTCCAAACGGGGTGACAATACTCCAAACGGGGAACCACCTCACTCTTGAAGATCAAGACGAGCAACGGACCATCCAGATATCTAAACGACCTTTCTTATAAGACCTACTAGTTTCGTTGCCTGATTCACCTTCTAACAATGGCCCGAGAACTTAAGTTCATTGTCGACATACACACCCAGGTCCTTTTCGCATTCGGTTTCAATTAATGCAGTCTCTTCGTCTTGTTGGGACGTGTGACATGCGTCCTTACTATTGGTGCAACCCAGGTGCATCCTTTTGCACTTTGTGAAATTGAATCTTAGCAGCCATTTCCTCAACCATTCTTGAAGCTCATAGAGATCTTTCTGTAGCTCATGACAGTTTGTTTGATTCTTAATTTCCCTTAATATGTTGGCATCATCCGCAAACAATTGTATGGAGGAGTGTATACCTTCTGGCATGTCATTAATGAAGCAGGCAAACATTAACAGGCCCAATTCACTGCCCTGTGGTACCCCTCTAGTCACAGGCACACATGATGATTTCGTACCGTTTATCACCACACACTGTTTGCGGTCATGCAGAAAGTCTCCAATCCATGCTAGGACACTTCCCCGAATCCCGTACTCTTCTAGTTTTATTCTCAGCCTTTCATGGGATACACTGTCGAAAGCATTGGCAAAATCTAGGTATATATTGTCAATATTTCTGCCTTGTTCTAGAATTTGAGTACAAACATCTAGTACCTTGAGTAATTGTGTTAAGCAGGATCTTCCCGGCATAAAACCGTGTTGGCATTCCTTTACAAGGTTGTTTCATAACAGATGTTCATTCATGGCATCTCCTATGATGCTTTCTAGTACTTTGTACACTATGCTGGTCAGGCTCACTGGTCTATAATTGTTCGTGGAGTGACGATCGCCCTGCTTGAGTATAGGACTCGCATAGCTATTTTCCAGTCGTCGGGGACTTTTTGCTTCTCCAGTCATTTGCAGGAACAGGATCTTAAGGGGCTCCACAACCTCGTTACACAGTTCTCTTAACACTCTGGGGTGTACCATATCTGGGCCGGGACTCTTGTGAAGCTTTAGCTTTGACAGTTTATTTCTTTTATCCTCGTCCGAGAACCGAGCATGGGTCCGCTGTGTCAAACCGTCTTTCCTCAAACACAGGCTCTGAGGGACAACTTTACTCCTGGTGTTTCATTATGAAGAACGAGAACATCTTTTGTGATGAAACGCAAGGAGTAAACTTGTGTCTGATCCTGTTTCCTTTATTACTATATAATGTAACCCTACTAAATGATGTCACAAAACAATGTCAGTCTTTCTTATTCATAACATCTAAAGTTGAGATAAACCTCAACAATTAACTTTTAAAGCACCCATAAGTCAGGAGGTGACACTTCGCTTCACATTACTAGGCAGAGTGTGAAGAGGGACACTGGCTTGGAAAGCAAGATGGCGCAATTTATGAACAGTAACGGCTAGACAGACATGGCTGTGTTTTAGACCTCGTGTCTCTAGATGGCAACAGTTGCTTCCAATCAAATCATTTCTATTTAAGGAAATAATTGTGATAGGAAAGGATTGGCGATTATAAGATCTGACCCCGAAAACAAGTTGTGTATTAACAAAGAGCAATTTGGTGAAAGGCATGAAACTAGAAAAGGTCACTTTGACTAAAAGCAACCAAAGGTTAAAATAATATACAGTGTACTGAGGATGAAAATTATTATGATGATCTAAAAGATTTTCATCGTCTGATAAGTAGCATTTTAGAGTTACGTCCATACAAATTATGATGTCATATATGCAAGAAATTGTTTTATCATGTATTAAAAACTTGGCAAATGAAAATCTTCTATTAGAAGTTATTTTTGGAGTTATGTCACTACAATACAGTATTTCATATACAGTTTTTACAGTTTCAATTGTAATACTGGTACAGGTACTGTACTTATTCAGTGGATCTTTGACAATGTGAAACAATGCTCAACTTCTCAATGTGGATATACAAATAGACAATAAAATTTAACAACAAATGGACTGGTACAGTATATATTTTCAAGGTGTTCTGATTAGAAACTCACTCTTTATTAAGAACGGTGGCATAAGGGAGTCGCTTTCTGAGTCCAAGGTGTAAATAGCCAGCCAGGTAACTGCCAGGGACCTAATATAAAAAACATTAAAGTGAGTCTTAAATCCCTCTAGAAGAGTAGTAATTGTAACTTCCTAAGTCATTTAGAAAGTACAGTAATTAAATCACTTAAACAGAAACCACCAAAGCACATTAAATATTAAGAACAGGGCATGGTGCTGCTGAAGTGTTAATTATGCTTACAACAGTGAAGAATGGGTTCCTAATAAATATGTGAGACAACATTGTTTGGAATATCATAAATGTATGAAACTTTACACACATATTAAATGGCCCCTTGCATTGTGCACCACGGGATTAGTACTATAGACTATGGACTCCTTGGTGTAAGTCTGTGAGTGTCTGTTTCAGGCATAGCTCCAAAACAGAAGCAGTTAGATCTGAAACTTTACACACACACACACACGCCAGAGCTGAGGACCATCTACAACGCCTTTATTCTCCCCAAACTAATGTATGCGTCACCAGCCTGGTCGTCTTCTCTCAACTACACCCAACAACGTCATCTAGAGAAGGTACAGAAGATGGCCTGCAGAATCATGCTCGGCGCAGAATACTCCAGCTACACCAACGCTCTCTCCACCCTGGAAATGCCATCCCTCAGTGACCTCCACCACCAAGCACTGGAAAGGTTTGGCAGCCAACTAATGCACCACCCTCGTCATCGCCGCCACCTGCCACCGGCAGCCCCCCACCCACCTTGCGCATTCCGGCACTACAACAAAATTCAGCCCGTATGAGCCTGCACCCATAGATATAAGAATAGCACCACCCCATCTATTGTTAAAATAATAAACAACTCCTGATTTATGTACTGTACAGCCCTGTAAATATATGCAATGCATATTATATCATTATGTCTAAATCAAATGTAAGTCTGTAAATTTTCAGCCACCGGCTGCAACTCTATTAATAAACCGTTTACTGTATTATTATTATTATTATTATTATTATTATTATTATTATTATTATTATTATTATTATTATTATAATTATTATTATTATAATTATTATTATTATTATTATTATTATTATTATTATTATTATTATTATTATTATTATTATTATTATTACATGGCCTCTTGGGTTGTGCACCATGTTACTATATTACTATTGATCACGGACCCAGGGTGGTTGGGAAAAGTACCAAAAATCTTCCCTGACTGAGATGTCACCACGGCGTTTGCGGAAAGTGGTTACCCGTGTCGGAGAGCAAACTGTGAAAGTCAAGATTAGGTTAGGTTAGGCTAGGCTGGGTTATGTTAGGTTAAGCTGGGTTAGGTTAGGCTGGGCTGGGTTTAGTTAGGCTAGGCTAGGCTGGGTTGGGTTAGGTTAGGTTAGGCTGGGTTGAGTTAGGTTAGGTTAGGCTGGGTTAAGTTAGGTTATATTAGGGTGATTTAGGTTAGGCTGGGTTAATTTAGAATGGGTTAAGTTAGGCTGGGTTAAGTTGGGCTGGGTTTGCTTAGGTTGGGTTAGGTAAGGCAAGGTTGAGTTTGGTTAGGTAAGGTTAGGTTGAATTAGATTAGGAAGGGACTGGTTAGGTTAACTTAGGTTAGACTGGGTTTGATTTGGTTGGGTTATGTTAGGTTATGTTGAGGTAGTTACCCGATGTCAGAAAGTGCAAACTGTGTCAGTCAAGGTTATACAGTATATACAGTATACTTAAGCCATGCAAACCTGGGTAATTTTGCAGATACAGTGTACTGTATAACAAAAGAACGAGTCTGTGAGTCTTTCTGTCCGTTCCAGCCTTAACTCCAAAATGGAGGCAGTTAAAAGACCTAAAATGTTACAGACAAGGTTTGTGCACCTTGGTACATTTTTACTTTTTACTTTTATCCTCTTCGCCACTGATCGGCTTGTTAGCCGCTTGGGCGATCGGTCACGTCTCGATTACTTTTCCTTTTCATTTATCTTCTTCTCCAAAAGATCGGCTCGTTAGCCACCCGGGCGATCGGTCACGTCTCTGTTACGCACTGTTGGCAAATACTGGGCATGCACCGGCTCCTGAATGTACCTGAACCCGCTCCAGTGTTGGTCAAGTCTTGTCTTGAAAGAGCTCACACTCGGTGCCGTCACAACACTCTCTGGTAGATTGTTCCAAGAGTTTACAACCCTCACTCCAAAAAAGTTTGCCCTCACGGTTTTCTGGACTTGCGGCTTCTTCATATCTTGAGCTGTGACCCTTTGTGGGGCGAGCGTCCGCCAGCTCCAAGTAAGGACACTCAACTGAGTAGTGCCCCCTGAGATGCTTATACACCTCAACTAGGTCCCCCCTTGCCCGTCTGTAGTATAAGCTAGGCAAGTTCAGGCGCTCCAATCTCTCAGGGTAGCTGAGGTGCCAAAGTGCAGGCACCAGTCTGGTGGCCCTCCTTTGAACATTTTCAACCAACTGACAGTCCCTAGCATATCTCGGAACCAGATGGGGTGACAGTACTCCAAATGGGGAAGCACTTCACTCCTGAAGATCGTTACGAGGGACGGACCGTCTGGATATCTGAACGACCTTCTTATAAGACCCAATAATTTATTTGCCTGATTTACCTTCTTCTCACAATGGCCCGAGAACTTCAGCTCATTGACAACATACACACCTAGGTCCTTCTCACACACAGTCTCAACTAGCGCAGTTTCTTTATCCCGTTGGGACATATGATACGCCTCCTTACCGTTGGTACGCCCCAGGTGCATCCTCTTACACTTCGTGACATTGAATCTTAGCAGCCATTTCTTCGACCAATCCTGGAGCCCACAGAGATCCTTCTGCAGCTCTTCACAGTCCGCTTGGTTCTTAATTTCCCGAAATAACTTGGCGTCATCGGCAAACATTTGTATGGAGGAGTGTACAACGTCAGGCATGTCATTTATGAAACAAACAAACAACAGCGGGCCCAATACACTGCCCTGTGGTACCCCACTTGTGACTGGTACAGATGACGATTTCGTACCATTAATCACCACACACTGCTTGCGGTCATGTAGAAAGTCTTCTATCCACGCTAGGACATTCCCCCGAATTCCGTACCCTTCCGGTTTGATTTTAAGCCTTTCGTGGGGTACACTGTCGAAAGCCTTGGCAAAATCTAGGTAAATATTGTCGATATTACCACCCCGTTCCAGAATATGGGTCCAAATATCCAATACCTTGAGCAATTGTGTTAAGCAGGAGCGCCCCGGCATAAAACCGTGTTGGAAATCTTTTACAAGGTTGTTTCGTATTAGATTTTCCATTGCGGCATCTCTGATAATACTCTCAAGTACTTTACATATTATGCTGGTCACGCTCACCGGTCTATAGTTGTTCGTGGAGTGACGATCGCCCTTCTTGAAGACAGGACTCACATAAGCCACTTTCCATTCACTGGGGACCATTTGTTCGTCCAGGCATTTACAAAACAGGATCTTCAGGGGCTCTGCAAGCTCGTTGCACAACTCTCTTAACACTCTAGGATGCACCATGTCAGGTCCGGGTCTTTTATGGACCTTTAGTCTGGACAGTTTATTTCTAATACCCTCTTCTGTGAACACAATGTGGGTCAGTGCAGTGTCGAACCGTCTGTCCTCAAACGCAGGAAGGTTAGTTGCATCCTCTCTTGTGAACACTGAGGAAAAGAAGCTATTCAATGCCTCAGCTTTATCCTGGTCAGAATCTGCTTAACTACCATCCACCAGCCTCAGGTCTGATACTCCTACTCGCGTTTTCAATTTCGACTTTGCATAGCGGTGAAACGCCTTTAGGTTTGACTTGACTTCGCTTGCAACCAGCCTCTGGAACTCCTTTTCAGCCCTCCTACACTCTATCTTACGGTACGGTTGGTTTCTGGCTCTTGCATACATCCTCCTGTCTTGCTCATCGTTTGACCCAACCCACGTCTTGAATTTCTGGGTTTTCTTAATTTTGTCGACCGCCGCATGGTTCATGTGTAGGGATCCCCTCGTATTCCAAGAAGCACTGGGTTTGGTCTTGGGTATATATTTATCGATCAAATGGGTCATTTTACTAGTTATGATATTCAGCGTAGTGTCTGCGTTCTTGTACTTTAATAAGTCAGGCCAGTTGATACCCCTCAACTCTTCCCTCATCCCATTGTAATTTCCCTTGTAATATTTGCACCTTGGCCTGGCCTTATCCTGAATTAGGTAACAGTTAAATCTGAATGACAACACTGTATGGTGACTGGTGCCAACTGGGGCAAGGTGTTCCAGTTTGGCCACCATACCCTCCTCGTTTGTTATGATGAGGTCAAGTGGCTTGGGTGTTTGCTCCCCTCTGTAATGTGTCGGGTCTCTAACATGTTGGAACAGAAAATTATCTCTCAGAGTTTCTACAAAAAGAGTAGCAGGGTTATTCAAGTCATTCGGGGTGGACTCGTTTCTCCAGTCGATGTCGCCATAGTTAAAGTCCCCCATGATAAGGAGGTGGCTAGGGTTAAGCATCGCCGCGTTGCTTATTAAGGTTCTTAAGTTCCTGTGATTTAGTGGGCCACAGTTTGGGCTCCAGGCGGTCCGAGCAAGAACCAAATATCTTCTCCGAACGAGATATCGCCACGGCGACTGTGGGTGGTGGTTTCCTATGTCAGAGAGGGCATACTGTGACAGTCAAGGTTAGGTTACGATAAGTTAGGTGATGTGCTGTGGGGTTGGGTTAGAATCGGTAAAGTTAGGTTGAAGTGGTTACCTGTGTTTGGGAGGGCAAACTGTGACAGTCAAAGTTATACAGTATTGAATATACAGGTACATAACCTGAGCGAAGCAGAGTTTATATATATATATATATATATATTCAGTTGAGAGTGAATTTGGAATCTTGCACCGTACAGTATAATTCATCACAACTGGAAAGTCTGAGACGCTTAAGAAGCGAACACGGAGGTAAGGAGCACTGGCTGAGGAGGAACGGAGCTTCTCCGCGAGACGTAAACAACAAATGGCTCGACTTGTGACTTACCAAATATAATATTATTGGAAAATTAATATCGCGGTTACCCTTTATTTCCGGTGGAAATATCATAGAATAAAAATGTCTTAAAAATGTCTAAACATTACGAAATACATATTAATAACAGCGAGAGAAAGACCGGTGCACATTACTATAAATTCACCGTATCAATTCCTGTTTCAGCATTTTTTTTTCGGGAATTAGCCCACCCGTGCACAGGTCAAACGACCCACAACTGGGCCTGGGGGGCGAAACAATAAGAACAGAATGAAATTGAAAATTGAGAAGAAAAAGGTTATATTGTACTGTGTTAATCTACACCACGAAGATGCCGGAAAACCAGCTTTTTTAAAGTGAGACAGATTGTATTAGTATGGAAACACAGAAGAAGGTAGAGCATTCCACAGTTTGGCTGTGTGAGGAAAGAAGGATGTACTATAACGGGTTATTCTAATGTGACCGACATCCACAGAGAAACGGTGGGCACCGCAGGCAAGACGTGCATTACGAGCCCATGGCCTTGCCGGCGGTAATAACCATGAATATTGTAATTGGGTAAATAATTCGGAGAAATCTTACTGTAGGTCTACCATCAAGCCCAGGAGGGAATAAGGTAGTGTTTGTTGGAACATTTTTTTTTCTCGGGGATTAGCCCACCCAGGCACAGGTCATTGACCCACATCGGCACCTGGGGGGCGAAAATAGAATAATAATAATAATTCAGATAAGTAAAATTTATAAAAAAAAAATAAAAAAAATAAAAATAGTAAAATAATGATAATAATAATAATAATAATAATAATAATAATACAAAATAAAAAAAATGATCACGACTGAGAAACAATATACTGTATGTAGGTTGTGATGTCAATGGTAAGAGAAACAATTGAGGCCCTGCAATTGTGTGTAAATGGGGCAGAAAGTCAGATCAGCAACCTGAGATTTGGTCACAATTTTCGTGATGCCATATGGCAGCAGGGTCTACCATTCGACAACACATTATGCTTCCAACACTTCTCAGGCGGTAGTACCTCCCTGTTTGATAGCTGCCTACTAACTACTACATGTACATACTGTCGGGAAACAATATCACAAGGGACATCTAATCTACACAAATCATACTAACCTGTTTAATTGAGCAATTACCCCTCAGTAAAAACTCCATGCTAAGTTGGTCAGTGAACACTGCATACTTTGGTTCAGTAAGGACACGATTGATGCCCTCAATCTCACTGCTAAAAAGAGGACTCGGATTCTGCTTCAGCCCCTTATATAATTTCTTATAGTAATCCTTTTGAGATCGCTGGAGGGAGCCAAGAGATAGTAACCACATTAATTCCACCTTAGATGAGTAAAAGAAACATGGAAAATATGAACAGTAACAGAAGACAAAAATATATATGAGGGTGCCATGGAAAACAGGAGAGAGAGAATTGTTAACAAACATATATAGTACAGGACTGTACAGTATATGTTTGGAAGGGGGGCAATCTTGTTTAACAACCAAGTTTATAGATCATAAGTTAGGACTCAAATGGATAAATGCCTTCCTCGGGGTCGAGGATAAATGCCTCCTCGCAAGATAATCCATAACACAGTCACTGGATATCAGGGTGAGTCTTATGGACAATGTGATAATTAAAATGCATCCCTGGCTGTTTTATTTATTGATTTGATTCTCCTGAGTTTGAAAAAAAAAATAAAGTAAATAAAAATTAGAGGTTCCAACAAATGCACTGAAGAATTTCTACCGGCATCGTTTTCAATGACATGTGAACTCGTCTGCCAAATTTAATATATTCTCGTTGTTTTTGGAAGGAATTGGTGACAATAAAATTTAATGGGTAATTGCTTAGAGATGAATAGAATTAAACTATTACAGTGTTTGCAGGCCTCCTGTAATTTTGTACACACATAAATCTACACTATTCCACATACATACATGCATATAAACAGTGCTAAGAAACTGTACAGTTACTTTATTACAATTCATCACTTTGTGAAACAATAAATAGTTGTAGCGTGTCAAAGGATGAAAAAACACCAGGTAAACATATCATTAAACTATGTTGTGACCAGAACTCTTGAACAAGATTCTAAAAAGGAATCTAATGTAAAATTTTACACCACATTTGGACCTGGATAAAATTTAAATGTTATGTTAATTTATATCGAGTGTTCACAAAGTTACATATAAATGATCAAACACCATGTCTGACGACCTACTTCAAGTGTCTGGATTGTTGAAGTACCCTTCAGAATTCCTATTTTCCACCCTGGGGTGTTGACGGCTTGTTCAAGGGATGAGAATGGCAACCTGATAGATGACACAGTCAGGAAGGAAGTAAGGCGAGCTGTATACGAGGCGTACAGGACCACCGATGAAAACCAAAACATCCACAAAACACCTTGGGCTCTTCCGGTTGTAGGTAGGATCCATGACCCTAAGAGGAAATGAAGTAAAATTGTTCTGTATGAAGCAGTTTGAGGGCCATAACTAGGAAATTTAATAATTAAATAACGATGTGTCATATATCGAGACAATTAGCACCATGGAAAATTCCTCACTACGTGAGCTCAACACGTGAGCGACATTCACAATTTCACACCGCCGCCGTTGCTCCCCCACCCCTCCTTTCGCTCCCCCATCTCGCCAGATGTGTGGCACGAACTACTAACCATTCATCAATTTGAATTGAAAAGTGACGTCACTACACCCACGCCTCAATGCGAACTAATAAAAAGACATACTGTACACACCCTCCGAGCTCACTTCACTTTGCTACCCTCCCAACTTAATATAAAAATTCCCCTGGGTTGACGTTCACTCTACTATCTCCTCTGTTGTTATCTACACTACTACTTTGCTGTCACTCGGAATTGACTATGACGATCATCCAGCTATGATACAATGATATGAGTTATTAAGGATGTCGCCTTCGTTGGTGAGCTCTGAGGTGACCAAAGAGGCCAATAAGGGATCGGCAGGGTCGTCCACAGATGTTGCACGTGTGAGGGCTACATCTAGTGCGGGACGGGTGGCGGCAGCGTCTTTCCGGCGCTGGCTCTTGTCTGCCTCGGTATGCAGTCGGGCTAACTCGAAAGTGCTGACACTTTCTTGTGTGGTGCTCCTCCAAGCGTTATGGTGTGGAGTAATTGTCTCCCAGGTGAGGAGGTCGATTTGGTACTTTTTTCAGGCTTGTCTTAAGACTATCCTTATACCTTTTCAGTTGCCCACCAGGGTTACGTTTACCATTCGTTAGGTGACTAAAGTAGCTGCTTTGGTAGTCTACGGTCGTCCATGCAGGTAACATGGCCAGTCCAGCATAGTTGTTCATGGATAATGGTAGGCTCGATGCTCCTACAGTTGGTCTCGGCGAGAATACTGGCATTTGTTCTCTTGTCTTACCAGCGAACTTGGAGGATGGAATGTAGATTATGTTAGTGAAAGTTTTCAAGTGCCCTGAGGTGCCTCCTGTATGTGACCCATGTCTCGCTGCCATACAGCAGGGTGGGGAGGACCACTGCTAGATTCACTTGCATTTTTTTTAGATAATTTCAGCTCCCTACAGCTGAAGACACAGGTACAGAGTCTGCCAAAGGCTTGAGATGCACGTCTGATCCGATGTTGAATTTCTTCATCGATGTCCGCGGTGGTGAACAGGTGGGAGCCAAGGTACTGGTACAGTACAACCCCTATAGTGTGTTCAACCAATTGGCTCATCTATATTGTACACGGGTAGAACGTCTATACATGTGGAACTTCACATATACTGTATGTAGGAAATTTCATGCCGGTCTGAAGTGATATCAACACATGTAACTGAAATGTTATACACGTACTCGAGTAATTTGGGTTTTGAATCAAAAATAATTTTGGTTCATCGATTCAAGCACCCAAACCTCATCAATAATATACGTTTTGCTTTGGTGCTCAGTGTTCAATTTTTTAGGTTCCTTTAAAGGTAATTTTTTTGTTCAGAATATATGTTATTTTTATACTGTACAATGTATACACAAAGAGGGGCAAGGATGCAGACTGACGTAACTCAGTCAAAACAATATTAAATAACCAATAAGCAATCACATTTGATTTATTAGCAAAAATGAAGCAAGCGAGACTGTTCTTCAATACAAATATGAATAAGTAAATAAACAGCTGAATAAATATGATAAAGGGAATTGCTAAATGGCTTTAATGGGACTGTTGTGATACAAAATGAAATATAAGAATCAACCCACCTTGCTGGACGAGACACGAGAAGAATATGAAAATAACATTGTGTCCGTTGTTAAAATGTGGGTCTTCATTTCTTTGTTGTTGAACAATGAACCAGAAGCCAGCAGTCATGACAGCAAGAAGTAGTATGATAGCCAACCACGTCCCCCAGTGAAATGACAGGACGAAGGTGTTCCAACCAATTGTATGCAACGACGAGTTAGTCCAAACGAACAGTCCCATACCAGTGTAAGCTGTTAGATAAAAAACATCTCACATTAACACATTTATATTTAATATAACGCATCTCATTCACAGATTTTTTTTACCTTTGTCACATTTCATTAATTTTGTTGGAGCATAAGATGACCATAATAGCAACATAATCTCCCATGCGTCGTCATTCACTGGGTGTTACAATAGTAGTAGTCCACTATGATGCTCCCCTCTACAACATGGCCCTAATATAGCCCTCTGGTTTATATTATCTCTATTACTTCACAGTCCAGCATCACCCACCAACACATTCATTAGCTTACTAATTGTAAATGTAAACAGCCTCATCCTTTTATGAATCGTATTTTCTTTTTAATGTAAAATATTTCACACAAGAATACAGTACAGTCTGTAATGCCCATCATGTCAACTATATGTTACAGTGATACCTTGTAGCTCAGTCAGAGACTTACCCTGGTGTAGTGATAAATAAGTCCATGATGGAGGACTTAAAATAATTACTGTATAATAATAATAATAATATTAATAATAATAATAATAATAATAATAATAATAGTAATAATAATAATAATAATAATAATATTTATTCAGTAAATTTGTCATAGAGGTTTACAATTGGATGAGCATGTTTATAAACTATGCAGTTATACAGTTCAGCATGAATATAAACAATTTAGGTATACAGTGCATGTAGGCTGTGGAAGTACAGTGTGGCGAGATCGTGCAGGTAAACAACAATGATAACAGTGAAGCAACTTGACCAAGGATAGCTGACAAAGATGTCATCATACTTGACTGTAATTAAACAAATCATAGGAATATATTAAGTTAAACATTTGACCAGTGCCAAAACTATTACCATAAGAATACTTAATGTGTCACAATGAGTATTAACAAATATATGCATGGGGTTCCCGAGTTACGTACGTCCGAATTACGAACATCCACCGGCACGAATGAAGTCCCATAAAGTTAAACTTTAAATTTAAAGTATTTTATTTACCTCATGACTTATTTGTTACTTTAATTTATTGTACTTTGTCATTCTATTTCTTCTTTTTTCTTAAATTAAGTGAGTTTATATGTATATAAGGACTTAGCCTATGATGTAAGTACTGTATGCACATAGGCGGTATGTGATTCGACTTAAGTACATTTTCGACTTAAGAACGTCCGTAAGAACGGAACTTGCACGTAACCATTGAAAATAAGAAAAAAAGTAGAAGCTGGATATTGTACCTGCACTGTATAAGCATATAGGAAACTATATTATATTGTTATGCCGAGGCATAATTTGGTATAATAATGTTTGCAAAACTAAGTGTTTTGAATATTTTCTGTCTCAAGCAGCAGTTATTTTGGTAAATTTAGGGAGATTTTCTTGTATATATTGATGTATTACTTATGTAAGATTATTCTAGAATGCATTGCGTCATTTATGTTATGATTTACTTCTTATTGTAAGCCTCGATCAAAGTAGAACTTTCTAAAACCTCCCAGGCGTATCTCGGTGGTGCTAGAGGCGTCTCACACTCTGACGAGACGTACAGTATATAAACACCCACGAGCGGTATGGAAGTCTGTCAACCGTTTCTGCTCAGGTGTAAAGTACAACAAGCCCAGTGAGACAAGTGAAGATAATTGTTGTACAAGTATTGTGGAATTATTGTGATCAATATAAAGTGAAAAGACTAAGGAATTGTATACTGGTAATGTGCTGAGTATAATATACGAAGCGAGAAGTTAGTTGTGAAGCAATCACCCTGAATTAGTGACTATTAAAGAGGACAGAGTAAATGTCCACATTCCTCATATACATTTGTTAATTGATGCATAAACATGCTTATACAACAATGAACAAGATGTATAAGCTGCATAAAAATTAAACTTTCTTGCTATGCATAAAATGTATAGTTCAGCATGCACAAAATTAAATGAGACCAAGTCAAACGAAATGAAACATGTACCGCCTAAGCTGAAACCAACATATTTAATCAAGAAGTACAATATATAGTCACAAGATGTATAACCAAAAGATGTATAATCAACCTCACAAAAAGAAGACAGGGGGAAAGATTTTGATAACGGTAAAAATAAAAACTCACCAATAGGCTCCGAGAAATCCATGATCTGGTACCGCTCACGGGTCATGGAAAGCCCAACAAGGGCGATGTCCGTCTTCTGTCAATAAGAGGAACAGAAGCGTTAAAGTTTTTGTCTTGTGGAAGGGCTAAGGCTTATGTCTTGTGGAAGGGCTAAGGCTTGTGTTTTGTGGAAGGACTATATGACTAAGGTATGTCTTGCACGCTAGAGTTTGTTTACATCTCCTTATTTGCTGATCAATGAGAAAGTTCAACACCACATCAATACAAGTAATTAACATATGGGTATGTGTGTGTTATAAGATATTTAGAGGCAAACAGACAGACAGACAAGAAAGGCAGAAACTGTACCATTAGTACTTAAGTATACAGTACTGTAATTCATAAAGATCTATGGTATACTTCTGTGACATTTGCTGTCTTATCGGTGAACTTTCATCTCGGCTCACCCTCCCTCTTATCACACTACTCCTCTACAAACTCTTATTATTCCACTGACATGATGCTCTTATTTGCTTTACATATTTTATTTATGCCTTTCAGGATTTGGCGAAATAATCACTGTTAAATCTCATGGCTCAACAGCTTACTCCATCATCCTAGTAATTTGGTTCTCTCCCTCCTTCCTTGCCTCCCCTCACTCCTGTTTTATGTATATTAACATTTCCTCTTTATACTAACCACATAACCATGAGTTATATTGAGAATTACATACATATTCATCTTCACCGCATGAAATAATATTTCTCTAATAAGTATGCTACTCCCTCTTCCGTGTAATTTGATTATCTAGATCCATATTTATTACTTATTTTACACCGGCAAATAACTATTCTTAGTATGTGAACAGTGTGCTACCTTTTGTCTTTAACTCTCTACAACTGCCTCAGTATATGTTGTTACTGCACCTATTCTTTGTGACTATGTAAAGTAACATATTGTTTATTATTTAGTATCTTTTTTACTTTAATTTCTTTATCTATTGCTCTGAATTTTATTTATTTCCCTTTTAATTATTCCTCTACTCGCATTACTCGCGGCTTAATTTTACTATACGTCATACGTACCCGACTTTGAAGAGCACCTACTAAACCTGAGTAGTTGCCATCACCGTTATCTATACCAAATTCAGCGCTCTCTGGGGGCAGGACACTCAGATTCACTCTGTGAGAATATATACATATACTGTGTATATATATAAAACTGATACAGTACAATATTGAAATACCATCCATACATTGAACACATAATTTAACACATACAGCACTATACAGGAAAACTGATAAGTACTATACTAAGACAACTTACATAAAGGACCAAAACGGGAAAAAACTCTTTGAAGAAAAAGAGATAGAATCCGCATACAGGAAAGAATGGAAAAAAGTATTTCAAATATCAGAAGAAAATGAGCAATTTGATGAGGAACACGAAAATCATATCTGCAGAGAAATGGCTGAAATGATACACAGGATAACCCCATACCATGTGGTGGACAAAACCAGGCTCAACCTGACAGAACCAATTACAGAAGGAGAACTGCTACACTAGATCAGGCACACTAAAGAAAAAGCACCAGGATTTACAAAAATCACAAGAAATATGATCCTATACCTACCCAACAACTGCACACAAGGCATCCTTGAAATATTTAACTCAGCTTTGGCAAGTGGATACTTCATTGATGCATTTAAAAACGCAAAACTTATATTCATACCGAAACCAGCCAAAGACCACACCCAAGTAATTAACTACAGACCGATTTCCCTACTCGAAGTTATAGGAAAACTATTTGAAAAGGCAATAAACAAGAGAATCAGAAAACACAGAAGTGAAAACGGACTACTAAACCCCAGACAACATGGATTCACTGAAAAAAGGGAACACATACTGCACTAGCCATAATCACGGAAACGTTAGCCAACAAGAAAGCAGAAAGAAACCAAGTCAACATTGTATTAAGAGACGTTAAGAAAGCGTTCGATAAAGTATGGCACCTAGGATTAAAATTTAAACTGCTTCAATTAAATCTTCCAGAACCAATAGAAAAAATCGCCTGTGACTTCCTAGACGATCGCACGGCACAAATACAAATTGGCAGCTTTATAGGACCACCCATAAAACTGAAAAGTGGAGCACCCCAAGGCAGTGTCATTTCACCCACGCTGTACAATGTCTACACAGCAGACCTACCAGAACCAGCTCCCTACAGTGAATACATAAGTTTTGCAGACGATATCACACAAATCATCACATACCCCGGCAAATCAACAGTAATAATGGCACAACATACTGCCAACGCAATAGAGAACATCAACCAGTACGAAAAAAAGTGGAAGATACAAACGAACAACAACAAGTTCAAAATAATCCCAATCGCTATAAGGAAAAAAGACCCCATTATAGTAGACAACAAAGTGATTCCATATGCCATGGAAGGCACTGTCCTCGGGCTGAAGATAACAACAAAAGGCTACAAAACATTCATCACCGAAAAACTTGCAAAAACCAGAAACATGGTAATTAAATTAAAACGCTTCAGAAGCCTGTCAGCAAAAAACAAGTTAAAGTTATATAGAGCCTTTGTCCAATCCCGACTAGTATATCCGCCAATTCCCCTACATGCAATAAAACAAACAAACATAAAGAAACTGCAGATAATTCAAAACTTAGACCTAAGGGATGTATATAACATCAGATATCCTGACATAGTCACCAACCGTCAACTACACCAACTAGCGCAAATAGAACCCCTAAACGTTTACCCACACCAGTGGTTCTCAACCAGGGGGGAATTCCCCCCAGGGGGGGAATTCAGGTTTTCAGGGGGGGGGGGAAACTGATTCGGGAGCAAGAGATATGTTCGATGAGAAATCAATCACAGAATTTTGGCCCTTGATGTGCGATTCCTACCCAAAAGTGGCAGAAAGAGCTATCCGTGCATTGCTTCCGTTTGTGTCGACATATCTTTGTGAGTCAGGCTTTTCAACTCTGTTGCAAATTAAAACGAAGCAACGTAGTAGATTAGAGGTAGAAAATGACCTGCGTTGTGCCCTTTCAAGCACTCCTCCGCGTATCCCAGAATTGGCGAAGAAAAAACAATCACAGGTTTCTCATTGACTGTAATCTTCATCTGAATAAAATTAATTACAAATTTACAATATCCTGGTATTCTATTGAACTTTTTGTTTATTGCATTATGCTTCAGTTTGGTCTGTTAAGTAATTCATTATAAAAAAAAAAAACTATTTTACTTTTATTCAAGTTTTATAAATCCATCAACATTTTCAATTGGCATTTAATTTGTAAAACTCCACTATAAAAATAATCCATGTAAAATTGTAAATGTATATGTACTAATATGGAAAAAAATAAAGGTTTTTCAGTATTATATGCATATTATTTGGAATGCACTTTTTGAGGCAGACAATCTTGGAAAGGAGGGGGGAATGACATTCTGACATATGGTGAAAGGGGTGCATGGGGCAAACAAGGTTGAGAACCACTGCTCTTGAGACAGCAGTGATGAGGTGCACAGCCCTTCTCATCTTGCTGAGTAAGGCCCTTACTCAGCTTTCTCTTCCTTAGCCCCTTGTGGTGATCCCTGACTGCCTTCCCATAGGTAATGTACTCAAGTTATAAAGTAAATTATTCATGTTTTTAATGTGTTAGATAGTAAATTAGTTGTGTAAAGTACTGTATATCATTAGTTAGGCAGATTTGTTTTGTCGCTCATGAACCAATTTATACGTTTTTGGAGCATGATATTTTTATTTTTTGTCATTGGAGAACCGAACCTTACCCCCCCCCCCAAAGGTCTTTTATTCGCTACACGAAAATTCACTTAACAAAAGGGGTTTCAAGAACCTAACCCTGTGTATAGCGAGAGATATTATACCTGTATAGTGTATATTATAATTTAATGTTATATTCTACCAGGTGCTTTTTTAAGTGAGTTATAATTAAAAATGCTCAGTCAAATCAGTTTCATTACAGCTGAGCAATTATATTTCTAACTTTTTTGCTCTATAAACTTTTAAGTTCAAAATCCATATGCAAATACAGTTGGTTATAATTTTCTGGTAAGACTACAGTAATCTTGTATTGGAATACATATGACTGACAGTAGAATTTTCAGATTCATATTGGATAAAAATCCTTTGGAAGATTACACAGTAAATTTAAGGACAATTTACACCTCAGGTGACGCCACAAATATTCAATCATTTTACATGCCTAAAATTGAGAGCGGTGGACATGGTATAGATGACGTCCACGAGGTATCCTTCATAATACGCAGTCTCTTTATTCGACCTTCCCAGCATGACACCCTCTGAAATGAAAATTAGAATTTTTTTTTATAAACCCAGCAAAAAATGCTGGAAAACAACTAGGGCAAATTAATTCTCCTTCCCTGCCACGAGAAGAGTTCCACTGTATCCTGGAAAAATGGAGTATCAGATATGGAGAATGTTAATACAGAAGGAAACCATTTATTTTAATTTACCAGTGAAATACAAAATAACTTTTCTGCTTTCAAAGTTAAATTGGATTCAATCTTCATAAAACCTTACTTGTATTATCACCCAAATAAGATTTTCCTCTCTGATTTGAAATTTGGTGGGATTAACTACAGTAATTAAGTACGTCCAGAAGAACATAAAAACACCAACTAATCACCTCGGAAACTTATAGCTGGCGAGTACAGTGATTAGCATTGTGAAATGTCATTAAAATATTCAAAGCGTCATTGCGACCACTAATTATCCCGAAATCGATCTGTCGACCATAGATTCTAAATCAGCATGCTCATGAGTACGTATCCTGAGATTTTGAGTAAAATTGCAAATATCGCGATTTTTGGGGGGCCTGAAAATACCATCAAGGAGGGGTAGACCCTTATTCGTATTTTCACCTAAATATGATTTTTCTCTTAGCTTGGAAATTTGGTGGGATTAACTACAGTAATTAATTAATTAATTAATTAATAATTACTGTAGATGAAGGTCATCCTCATACATTTGACAAGGTGATTGCAAAGGCAAATTTTATAGTTTATTACAAATTACTGTACTGTACATACTGTATAGTCAAATGCCTGAACAATAAATAAAATTAGCAATATTTTTACCTAAATAATCAATAAAATTTATTCCATATATAAATGCTTTGTTACTTTACTGATCCTCTAAATTTTATAAATGAGTAGCTAGTTATCATATATTACCGAGTGTGCCAAGGATATCGGAAGAGGAGTGCAGTATAGTCTCGCGTACTGTACCTAGCCCTTCATTCAAGATGAAAATCTATTCCATAACACTTTTTTGAGGGGTAAATTCTCTACTACTGAGCTAGGTTAATTTTGACAAGATACCCGATGATGCTTTATTTGTTTTGATGTTTCTTTTCTTACTATATTTTCATTGGTGAGTTTTGATATGATATTAATTTCTTGAGCCAATGCTTCGTTTGGTAGATAGTTAGGCGCCTAAGCGCGCTCTTCTTCGTCTATCTAGGCGGTGATGCTGCATCCCCGTTGCAAAACACTCTGGCGTGCTTTCTGCCGCGCTCCGATCAACGCCTATGCTCAGTGTACGTTTATGAGCTGCTCGATCTGGGCGGCTGCTGTCACGTCCACAAAAAAACCTAATATTACACCATATCATAGTAAGGTAGGTTTCTTTGGTTAGGTTGGTGCAGTCTTCTTCCAACACTTCTGCCGCATGTTTTCTTGTCAACTGAGGCTAGGTTAGGTTTATTTAGAAATACCAATTTTTTTTTACACATTTGCCTAAACTACGATACTGTCCACTGCAAACACCCTGAGTTACATTATTATATGGTATGAAAAAATATACATTATTTTATACCATATGTACCTACCTATGCGATTTTTGTGGCAAACGTTTTCATGAAGGTCATCTTTAGGTGATAACACCATCTTGCACGGCTTAGATTTCGTTATCTGTGGACTGTACTGTAAAATATACAGACAAAAAAGAGTATTTAAAATAAGTCTCCCTACTTTATATATGAGAAATTGCTGATAATAAATAAATATACTGCATGTACTGTACAATAATTAAATTAAATATTAAAATAAAAACAAATACGACAGGTTTCATTAAAAGTAACTCACGTCCATGGCAATAACTTGAATTGCATGTCCTTGAAAGTCTTCAGGACCAACGTCTGGCTCATGAAGGATAGTGATGCTATGGGTCTTCGTGCTATGAGGATGCCATTTTGTCACTGGAACATGTAAGCTCTCTCTTCCATCATTAAACAGAAATACTTCATCTGTCATCACTTCTTTGGTGTTCTGTTGATCACAAGAGTTTAATATTTCTGTTAATAGCATTATAGCCATCGGTAACGTCATGACGGGATATCTTTTATATGCTAGTGTCCATTAACCTATTCTCTACCTAACTCTTTTGTTACTTATCATAAGAATCGAGGGTAACAGGGCATTTCTTAACGTTTTATTCCAGCGTTAATTGTAAAGCGTCTTTTGGGGATTTTCTGTCCTTCTCGTACATTATTTAAATGTCTTGGTTATAGACAATTATTAAGTAATTTATAAAAATCCATGAATCAATTCCCTGCAATACAGCAGTATAACAAAACTTGATCTAGTGCCTGCAGTACGGCACCAGGGCGAAGAAACTGCATAAATAGAGACCGAATGTGAAAAGGACCTGGGTGTGTATGATGACAATGAACTGAAGCTTTCGGGCCATTGTGAGACGGTGAATCAAGCGACTAAACTAGTAGGTCCTATAGGGTCGTTCACATATCTAAATAGCATTCCTCGTAGTACTCTTCAAAAGTGAGGTGCTTACCCGTCTGGAGTACTGTCACGCCGTCTGGTCTCCGAGATGTACTAGAGACTGTTAGTTGACTGACTGGTGCCTTACACTACGGCACCTCAGTTATCCAGAGAGATTAGGATGCCTGCAACTGCATAGCTTATACTACAGACGGACAAGGGGTGACCTAATTGAAGTTTATAAATATCTCAGAGTGTACTACTCGGGCGAGTGTCCATACCTGGAGCTGGCGGACGCCCGCCCCACAAGGGGTCGTCACAGCTCAAGGTTGAAGAAGCCACAAGTCCAGAAAATTGTGAGGGCAAACATTTTCGGAGAACTGTGATCTCTTGGAACAACCTGCCAGAGAGTGTTGTGACGGTACCAAGTGTGAGGTCCTCCAAGACCATATGAATTCTTTAAGCACTTACGAAGTTCTTAACCCGTTGCCCACTTGCCAACAGTGCGTAACCACCCAAGCGGCTAATGAGCCATCAGTGGCGAAAAGGATAAAAAAGTAAATTACATGCTGACTATCCCTTTCATGCAAACTATTGACATATATAATGTGCCGTTATTGTAAAATATGAGTTTTAAGTTTCTTTAAAACCAACTTCTGATAATTATGCAAATCACTTAATTGTAAGTCTAAGAGTTGATTATTTAAAAAAAAAAAACTTAATATTTAAGTTGACTCAAAGTAAACTAACTAAAACAGATAAGAAAAACTGTGGGAAACACCACCGTGAAAATGCTTGAATATCATAGAGTGCAATAAATACTATAATATGAATTATGTACCAAATTGTATGAAGACTGGAACCATCGAGCTGTGACCTCCAGCTGGACCTGGCATGGGGGGAGGTCAACACCCATAATGATATGGAGAGCACCAAAGTGGTCACTGAGATTTTGTTTCCACAATGTGATGAGTGTAGTAGCCAAAGATTTGCGAGTCGTGAGATGAAGGACAGCGGGATGGAAGAGGAACTGTGGTACAGAATCTTCAGGAGTAGCACCGGCATCCAGGGCGTTAATGCTCCCCATCATACGAGAAAGATCACACGGCATGAAAAACATCATATGTTGGCTCAGTATTGATGCAAATATTCGCTTTATTACCCCGTTTGGCAAACCTGTGGGCAACACCATTATAAGTGGATAAATTATATTGTAATTTGATTAAAAAAAATAATTTTAGTAAACATTTTAGAAAAAAATACAGAATATAGAACACCACATACCCTATTAAATATTGTATACGTAAGACTTGAATTTCAAAATTTAAAGATTCTCAAAACACAAGAGTCTGAATATCAAAATAAGTGTGATCACATTAGGTAGGGTAGATAAGTGCACAGGAATTTAAAAACTTTCAAAGACCACATCGAACTGTACGAAAGTCAAAGAATACCTTATTAATCTTAAAATGGTTCAACTCAAATACATTTCAGTTGTAAAAATAGTAAAGAGAAAGCAAATGTATAGAGATTAGTAAATGGAAACAGAAATGGGATAGTGGTAGTGAAAATGTTACAATGAGTGTTTGATGGTGTGTTATGTGAAGCTGTACTGGGGTAAATCAGATACAGTACATGATTGGACCTTCTTGTAGAAGATGAACACCTTAACAGATCAGATATGTTACAACGAGAAAAGTGAATAACTGACAGAAAATGAAGAAAGTGTGTATTTCTTGGTGATTCCCAGCACCCTGAATTTCATTGATAATGGACTTGAAAGTAAAAGTAACAGTAAATTTTACTGGTAAATAGTTTGATGCTATGATGTTATTAGTCAATCAATCAGAGTGCCGTCCTCATATCTGAGGGTTGGCGACCACAGTCCTCCACTTTAAACGTTCTTGGGCTGTTTTTACCAATCACCCAAGGTTTTGTATCTCTCCGGGGACCCAGTTTTTAATTTAATTCATCCATCCATCTCAGTGCGCCTCAACAAATAAGGTCGCTTAAGTTCGTAATAATTAACAATTATGAGATAGAACTCTCTATAATTGGGGATTCATAATAAATATACCACCAAATAAGAATTATTCACCATATACTGTAATGGTTTATTGGTTTGATTGATTCATTTTAACTGACCATATAGGTGCAATATATGAATATAATAGTCACATAAGAATTTACCAATAAGTATAAATTTCTTTGCAGCTCCCTTAAACATTTGCAAAACTTGTTTATTGACTTGGAAGTAGCGCCACTTACCTGTTTCCCCCATCAAGCAAAAGTACACTTCGTTAATCTTGATCAGCTTTGCAAATTCAACAACAAATCGAGCCATCCTGACAAAATCCTCAGACGCTGGAGCTGGTTGCGGTTCTTCCTCTTGAACAGCATCCCAGCAAGCAGATATAGGCTGCTTGTTCAGGTTAGGTTGAGCCTCACACAGAAGAGAAGCCAACAGCAATAGGCCTGTCATGCTTGATCCTACCATCGTAACTCAGCAACTTGGAACGAGGCAATCTGTAAATGCGTAGCAAATGTTAAGCCAGCATTTCAACTTTAATGACTGTAGTTCTGGAATGTTTACTAATATTTCAAACAATAGAACCAATAATGACAAAAGTTTATTCAAATGACCAACACTATAAAGAAAGAGAATACGTTATTACAACTTAATATGTCAAATTTCCTTTGGAGTAATATATGTACATAAACATTAATGTTCATCTGGGTAATGAGAGATGTGATGTAAACATTTGCACATCCTACATGAGTATTCTACAACTGTCACGTGTCTTGCTTCAGCTGAAATAATGATGTGGAAAGTGTATAAGTGAACTACTGCCCAGATGTTGTGTGCCTTCGTATGTACACTGACCAGCATGACATCAAGTAATCATTTTGTTAATCCTCGACTAAACCAATAGTTCTCAACCTTTTTGGAGTTGTGCCCACCCCTAATCTCCAAAGGGCTTAAGAACACTTATTTTTAAAGTTCCAGTTTCACCAACTTTACTGCCTTTCTAAATCCAAATCTCGTTCTGCAGCTGCATGGACGAGGAAAAGGTCCCCAGCGACTGAAAAATGGCACATGTAAGTCTCATATTCAAACAGGGAGATCGCCACTCCACGAATAAATAATTCGTGGAGTGGAGATCGGCCTATAATTATTCGGAATAATTATAGGCCGGTGAGCATGACCAGCATAGTGGGTCAAGTGCTAGACAGCATTATACAAGATGTTATGATGAACCAACTACTACTGGTCCCCGAGATATGCTAGAGACTGTCAGTTGATTGAAAACGCCCAAATGAGGGCCACCAAACTGGTGTCTGCACTACGGCACCTCAGTTACCCAGAGAGATTGGAACAACTGCAGCTGCCTAGCTTATACTATAGGCGGACAAGGGGTGACTTAGCAATTAAATTTTATAAACGTCTCAGAGGGCATTACTCAGTCGAGTGTTCATACCTGGAGGGCTGATGCCCACCCCACTAAGGGTCACAGAGAGTTGTGAGCTCTTGGAACTACCTGCTAGAGAAAGTGTGATGACGAGTGTGAACTCATTCAAGATCAGATTTGACCAACACTGGCTCAGGTACAGATACATTCTGGAACTTGCAATGGTTAATCGAGTATCTATATCATATACAGTCTTAAAAAAATACTATGAAAATGAAATGAACCCTGAACAAATACTGTACCTTACAGTGAAAGTGGGTCCCATTAGTGCCGCCGTCTCCCCACTCCTGGGGAGACGGCGGCACTGGTGATTTTTATTTTTTAGTATAGACGTCAAATAGTCAAGATACACGCAATAAATATTTCATAATTGCTACCCACAAGTGAACTACAGGATCATTCTGAAACTGGAGATGACGCTCACTTGAGGACCAGGGCCGGATTCAGGAGTGGGCAGCTGCCCAGGGGCCTCCACATATTACAATATTTTATTTATTTGTTTATTCATTTTGATTATTTTTATTTTCATTCTTTAAAATTCATGTTTATCTATTCCATCACGTAAAACTATGTTCAGCAAGAAGCGTGATAGAAATTAGGCTAGCTACTCCTTGAAATTCATGAATACCTGGTTTTCCTATGAACCGTATATTTTTAATGAATGCTGTTGTTTGTGTTGCTAATAATATATTTAGAATTCCACAAACTTATATTGAGTAAAAATAAACTACATGGAATAACGAAATTGAGATTAAAAAACAAATAAAATATTTTTTTCATTATCACTTCCATTACGAATGCCATCAGGGCGCTGTGTTCTAATTTCCTCGATATAACTGCATATGGCTTCAAAATTCTCCAAAGAAGTGTTCAAATTTCAAAATTTTCCCGGGGCTTACAGCGCCTCCCAGAACTGCCAGATGTTTAGGCTCGCTTCACTCGCCACCCCACCCTCTTGGGTAGTTATAATGAGGGGGGCCTCCACAAAGAGGCTGCCCATGGGCCTCCACAGGTCTAAATCCGGCACTGTTGTGGACAACGAATACCAGAATAAACCAACAGGGCTGTACTGTTTACAAGTCTATAGCCAGAGGAGATGCGTTGTGGTTGCCAGATGTCACAATATATTGGTAACGCATGAGCGGCATGACTAGTGCTATAAACTGCGAGAAATATGTGTCGTTACACCTTCATTGCCCTATTACCATGAATATACCAGCACATAATTGCCATGACTGATAAGACATGTTTGGGAATTCCATTTCTAACTTTTGAACATCTGAAATACTGTTATTAACCTGAGATATACAACAGCAGTACCTAGAGGTATATTATCATGTAGATTGTAGCCAAAGTTTTGCTTAAATAACGTATGTGTGTATGAAATTGCTGTTTTTGTTGGATGAATATCAATAATACGTTCAACTTTCATGAAATGGCGAGAGGCGGTGGAGGCCTGCCATTAGAGATTCCTTACTTTTAAAGGCAGAGAAAGGTGTAGTAGGAGTGGAGACGAAAATATTGTATAACGTTTATTGGTCGAAACTAGAAGGTTTGTGCTAATTTTTGGAAGTAACTCACATGTTATCTTGTAGTTTGACGTCTCAAGGTTCTAAACGGTGGTGGTCATCAAAGCTGTTTTCCTTAATGATGTCCGAGTGTTGAAGTGTCATCAGACTTCTCCTCTGTCAAACAAGAAAGAATGACTTGAGTTATTCGGTATATCTGGGATCTTTTGATGGACAAAGTTGAGCCAGGTACAAAGATGCAGGCAGTATACATAGTTCAGAATCATCAGCATGACAGCCACATTCTTACCAACAAGTGAAGGCGACACATCACGTGTACAATATTATTATTATTATTATTAATGTGGTTTAATTCTGAGTCCTCTCATATACTGTCACAAAATTCATTACTAACTCACTGAGCTGTAACTTGTTAATAATGACATTCAGTTGTGAACCCCATAAGAATTGATTGTTCAAAGGAAACTTGTAAGAAATGGAGAATTGTTCCTGGTAACTCGCTTCTTCCAACGCCATTTTGGGAGGCGTCACTAATGTATACAGTAACTACTGACAGCTAATGTTGTTGACGGGTTGCCCAAGTATTAACTGAGACGCATGATGAGTTCATGACGTGACTCCTTCAACGAGGGAGTGAAGTCATAAAAGACGATATCGAAGAAAGTGTTTTTTTTTCTTTTTGTGGTTTAGTTTAATTCAATGAATTTCACCCTCGCTAGTCTTACAACTTGTCTAACATGCATTATAGCGATCTACAACACAATAATCTGGTGTCCGTCATCTTGAGCGTGGCATGAAAACACTTACAAATAACTCATATGAATAAAGCATTAGGGAAGAGAATCTATGAGGCACCCAAATAACAGGTGCTACGTGGGCTATATGTTATTTTCCAGGAAAGAGTGTGTTTACTCTGCCTTGGCGAGGTAGGCGGAGAAGGCAGTCTATTGAATAATATATCATCTTCTCTATACTAAATCTTCATTACCCTAACATATGTCATCTCAGCCTGCTGCATCGGTAATACCTGTGTGTGTGTGTGTGTGTGCGTAGAGTACCTGAGTCCTTGCGATGAAAGTTGCCTGCAGGTGTTTACATATTATTACAGCACCGTCTGTCTTGTGAACTTCACCTGTTTGATAAAGTACGCGATGTTGTGCTGCAGTATCACTCCAACACAAATGTGATTAAAACCTACTTCACATACTCAGACTTTTGCCTACATTTGTCTGCACAGATAAAGTGTGCGCAGACAAATCGGAACATTTGTAGCGGAAGTTTATAAAGACTGCGAAAGACAGTTTGTTAGGTCTGCAAAATCAAGTGCTGCACAGACAAAGCGGCGGAGCATGTGTAGGATCGTTCAGACCAGTTGCTCTGTCTTCAGCTTCATGTACCAATGAGTCTTTTTTTTTAATTGTTCCAAATAATTCATAACAGTTAATTGAGATCCATAAAACAGTGAACGATCGCTTAAGAAAATTAATGTTAAAGAATACAGTGCTATTTTTATATAAAATCTTCCGATTCCTTAATTTGTCATTTTGTCTTTAATCGTAATTATGTATCTACGATATTAATTAATACTAGCAAGAAGTAAAAATTGGACACACAGGGGTTTTATAAAATAATAGCTCGATAAATGTGTTATTTCAGTCTCTGTTGGACACTGGCAAATGCTGTTTGCGCAGACACAACTGTACAGTATGGTGGAAAAACGCATAGGCTACATTTTGCCTGCGCAGACAAATCTGAGAAAAGTTTGAACGTGTGGAGTAGACTTAGCAATTATCTTTATTCTTTTTTTTACTGTTATTATTAAGAGTAGTAGTATTAGATATACACTTTTACTATAATTATCATAAATCTAAGATCACACCCTCCTAATGCAGTTAAGACGAACGCATCAGAATATGACTGACCTTTTGACGAACAGCTGTCACTTTAACAAGGACTTCTTAACGTCTCAGAAGTTGTCATTATATACAACATCTGGAATAACATAAAAATATCACACTTAAAAGTAAGTACACGTTGTACTGTACAAGAGCATTCGTCAAACCATCATTGGGGCCATCACCAGTACCAGTGCAAGCTCTCACCATCATCACCAATACCATCACCACCAATACTATCAGCATTATTCAGTAGTTAAAGAACCATAAAACACCTGTCACCAACGCCTCTTAGTCATCCACCCACAACAATAGCCACCAAGGAAGGGCTTCCCCATCATAACAACAACACAACGAACCGCCGTATTGTTCTCTAAGTCAATATATCGAGTCTTCTGTAATACTATTATGCCTATGTCTCTTGTTTGTCTTTAAATAAATGAGGTGAAGGCTACCCGTCAGAGTGGGTAGATCATCCTGCATTATTGGTACAGGTGTTGCCGAAATTTAAAATGAATTATAGTGCATGATACGTCATGTGTGAGCTGAAGAATGTCAAGGCTTATGGTGATATTGCATATATGATAAGGCAGTGTGGTGAAGCAGTAATGTTATGGCAGGACTAGGGAACACAGTTTATGGTGAATGTCGACGGATGGGCGGACTCCGACAGACTCAAAGTTGACGACGAGTTGCAGAAATGACGCAGCCTCTATTTACATAAACAGCCAGTTGTTATCGACTCGGGTTACGGTTCTCATTTCATCTTTGCAAAACACCCGGGTCTTTTATACAGAAGTCCGTATACAAAATTATTATTTATTTTAACAGGCATAAACTAAGAATGCCAAACCAAACAAGTTCAGAGAATATTTTATAAAGTACTCACTGTGCAGCTTTGACTGCTTGAAACATTGAAACGCATTGTGTTTCCATTTCCTGAATAATGCCTTTTTATATAAAAAAAAAGATCATAATAATTAGTCAATGTTTAAGAACATTACGCAGAACAATACCATAGCGTGTGCCCATCTCCATGCCTCCCTGAATGACTACAGTATATGGGGAAGGCAGTAAAATGTACCACTGATCATATACAGTACACAGTAGCTCTTTCAGTGAGTTTTTGTACACTACAAATGTACATAAAGTTATTGAAATTTTTTCATACAGTTTAAGAAAATCATATTATTAATGAAAGTTGTTCATATCGTCATGGGAATTTTCTTCATATTAATTGTAGTTCATACCGTAATTGGAATTTGTTTATAATGCTGTGCAAATCCGTTCAACCTGTTTTTAATTAAGATTGTTGTTCATGTCACTGATGTAAATTTTTCATATGTGAGGGTTGGCAGCCACAGTCCTCCACTCTTAACGTTTTAGAGCTGTTTTTCGCAATCCTCCAAGATTTTGTATCTCTCTAGGGACCCAGCTTTTAATTTCATTCACCCACTCCAGTCTCTGCCTTTCCCTGGCCCTCCTACCCTCAACTTCTCACTCGTATTTCTGTTATTACCCCCTCATCCCTAATTATATGAGCAACGTATCTCAATTTTTTTTTCTGGACATTTGAAATACCGGTATTTATCTTGAAGTTTTTGATAACCTTAGTAATTTTTCATACCATTATTTAATTTTATTCATAGCGTTCTGACGATTTTGTTCATCGTGTTATTAGAGTTTGCTCACGTTTTTTTTTTAATTCTTTCGTACTTACTGAAATTTGTCTATACTGTTATTAGAGTTTATTCCTATCGTTATCGGAACGTGTTTATATCGTTACTGGGCATGTTTACAGAAAGCTAAAAAAAAACTATTTATGTTACAGTAACAGTGGAAATTCGACGCCATTTGCATCATAATGTGTACACTTTTATTCAGTAAAATTCGCCAAACAGTTTCAAATGTATTCAGCATGTGTATAGATAATGAAGGTATACAATTCAGCATGGATATAAACAATGCAGGTATATAAATCAGTATACCTATAGACAATGCAGGTGCAATATACAATAGACAAAGAGTAATGTATGCATACAAGAAATGAACTTAGAGCCAAGACAGTAATAAGTAATGTAATTCGATCAAGGATAACCAACAAAACCATCAGATACTTAGACCTGGGTACTAAACATTAACAGTAAATCTAAAAAAAAAAAAAATAAGCGTAAAAATTTATGGTTGGATATAACAAATCATTTACATTGCACTTGGACTACTTGAGACTGACGCCGTAGCTTTACACGACAGACCTCGATGTGCTCTCACGCTGCTCTCGAAGGAAAATAAAATGAAATATTAATCGTTTAAATATCTAAAAATTCAATGTGACGAACAAAAACTCGCCAACCATAATCATTCGTATTTACGTATTGGCAACTCAGACACTATTGCCATCATGTGGTATTCTATTTTATGGGTCGAAATATACAGACCAAACACGATATCTTGTACTTACGATACCATCTAAGGACAGGTGAAAATCCACTGCTAGAATATATTGTACGAAAGCAACAGATATTCACTTAGAATACCTAGAAGTGACGATAGCAGGTCATATACATTAACGATACCATACCCTGAAGCAATGGAAACATCATACTTACAATATCCTGATGTAACTGTAATACATCATACTTACAATACCCTGAAGTAATAGAAATATATCATACTTACAATACCCTGAAGTAACGGTAATAGATCACACTTACAATAGCCTGAAGCAACGGAAATAGATCATGCTTACACTGCCGTGAAGTAACGGTAACACATCGCACTTACAATACCCTGAAGTGACTAAAGTCATAATTTACGATACCTTGTTGTAACATATCGATGATTTTACTCACACTTATAACTGCCTAAAATTAAAATGTTACAAATAAGAAGTGAAATTTAACATGACAAAAATTATGAATACATTATTATCGTTATTATCAACACTAATGCTTATGATGAATCGTTACTGAGAATCATTATCACCAGTCACTCATCACCAGCAACTTTAATCATCATCCAAATATTATTCTAGTCATTATCATTATCACAATCATTACTATTACTATCGTTAAATGAATCATTATCATCCCTATCAGTCTAATCACAATTATTATATGTTGTATCCTCCTAATAATAATAACTATCCTATGATTATCACAACGACCACTCACCAACATAACAATTATCACCATTATCACTATACCGATCACAATTGCCACCATCATCACTGTACCAACATCACCATCATCTCACTCTCAT